CCCAAAAGAACCTTTCAGTGAAAAGTTCTTAAAATAACAATTCTTTTCTTAGTGTGAAGATCATGTAAAGACACATTTTCCACTATGTCTTCACCATCAATGCCAATAAAGAGTTTTTATATTTAAGAGTGTATGTACAGGTACAGTGTAAATAATGGGAATTGCTCCAGAAGAAGTGTTATCAACCAGCTATCCTGAGTATCCTAAAGCAAATGTATTCCAAAAGCGTTTGGGGAAAAATGTTTCTCCACGCTCTCTGACTAAACCCATCCATCATCAAACCCATGAGCTGTGCTGAATCCATTTGGACCGGCAGCATCGCTGCCCCTGAAAATGACCTCATGGAAAAATGCCTCCATTGCCCATTACTGCAGGAGCCTCAGGGAACAGAAGCCGCCGCTGCTCGGGAGGTCATTACCAATTTAACTGCGGCTATAGTAAGGCGGATAACAAACCTGAACTATGACCTAAGAATAGTGGACTTTACACAAGCTGATAGACGGAACACAGACATAGATCAAGGCTGTCAGAGGGGCTAATGAGTGCAGAGAGGGCCGGCGGTGAGCGGGATTGTTGGGAATAGAGGGTAAGATAAGGCCGCTGGAGAGACGGATCAGGGAATGGAGAAAACAGGGCGGTTAACAGAATGGTGAGATCACCAGAGGAAGAGAAAGGCTGAGAGTTTACCATCATCAGGTCATAAACAGGTGCGAATTTTATCGGTGTGTCGGATCAGGATTGATCAGTTGCATCGATGAGGCTTTGTGTGGACGATCTCTGTCTCCCTCTCTCTCTTATTTCATCTTTCCTGCTCCACTGAGTCCATTATTTTGAGGAAAAAGAGGAATATGAAAAGTAATTAAATAGGTTTGGGTCACAAAAGGTCAACGTGAACGCGTGTTCAGTGAACTATATCTTATAATGGTGGAAGTTGAAAGCTGATTTAAAAAAAAGAACCATTCACTAAAGTCAATGTGAAAAATGCTAAATATATTAAGAACTTTGGGGAGTTTTTTTGTATTTAAATTTTTGTATTGTCCGGCCAGAGCGACGAGACATAAACATGAAAACCCATTATAAACGAGGCATTTGTTGCATCCAGTGGGGACATAATTACTGATTATAATGACTTATTATAATTACTGATTATAATGACTTATACTGTCTTTTTACGCGTTGTGTTGCATCGCGCAAACATAAAACTCTGTCTGCATTTGTGATCGGAGAAATGACAAACAACAAGTGCTACTCTACACTGCTCAAAACTCGTGTTTGAATCATCAGTGGCAAATGATAAAAGAAAACATACTTATGTGAGTCAGAACTGCCGGCATTTTAGTCTAACGTTACTCTCCCAGGATCAGTAAACAGTCCTCCATAAAATGTGCCGGCGATCCACAGCACTAAGTTGATGTATTTCCTCAGCGACTGGCACGGATCAGCTCCAGGCATGACGAAGCGGATATCGTCCTCTTTTGGAAGACCAAACAAAGTAGTTTAGAATATCTCTTTGGATTTGAGACTTTAGTCTGGGCAACTTTACAGATCTTCTTTATGCACCAAGAGCTTGTATCACTCCAAAGAGAAAGGAAAAAATGAAATTGCATCATATGACCCCTTTAAAGAAGTCTTGTGTTCACCAAGGTTGCATTTATTTGATAAAAAATGCAGTTATAAACTATAATATTGGGAAATATTATTACAATTTAAAATAACTGTTTTCTATGTGGATATATTGTAAAACAATTTATTCCTGTGGTTACTAATTACATCATTACATAATGTTCAAAAGAACAACATTTATTTGAAATAGAAATCTTTTGTAACATTACGTCTTTACTGTTACTTTTGACCATTTGAATGCATCCTTGATTAAAGGTGGGGTAAGCGATTTTTCAAAAACACTTTAGAAAACCAATTCGGGCCGAATAGCAAAACAAACTTGTAGCCAATCAGCAGTAAGGGGCGTGTCTACTCATGATGTGGAGGAGAGAGAGTTCAGTGCACGGGACGGACATTAGCCGAGCCGAGCGACAGAAAGATAGAGATGGCGGATAAAAAACAAAAGAGGAAAACGTCTGCGGAACAAAAGAAGGCTTAAGGCAAGAAGTAGGACCCGTGTAAATATCGGATCAGCTTTCCAGCGCTGGAGAGAACTCAAGGAGCGGAAGGCCTGCGGTCGGACGCCGAGGTTGCTTTGTTTCTTCTCGATAGGTGAGTAACACCGTGTCTGCGCCGCAACAGCTAAAGTCTGTCTAGTACACTGGACGCGACAAAGCGACCGCTGAAAATCATTTGAAATTTGTGTCAATACGTCATGAATAGAACGCAGCAGCAGTTTTGCTTTGTTTCACAGAACTAATCCGTTGCCTGGGTTGCGTACGTATGTGTGGGGTGGAGCTATCAAAATAGGGGCGAGACACTTTTGGGATAAGGGCGTGTTTGTTTTGGTGATTTCAAATGTCAACATTGGCTACCAGAAATCGCTTACCCCACCTTTAAAGTAGCAGTTTATTTTTTTAAAAACCTTACTGACCCCATACAAACTTTCGAATGTTACATGTGAAATGTATAATTTTATAAGCACAATTAATATGATAAAATGATATATAAGAAATGGCATTTTAAGCTCTTTTAATTTTAGATTTTCTTTTTTCCTTTTAATAATTGCACACCCATCAGACACCAGTGTATAGTACTGATTGTTGAAGTGCTTTGGTAAATGTATCCTCTCTTAAACAGCAGGGGGTGAAGTTGAGCCGTTCAAATGTTTTATTACTCATTCAGTCTTATATCAAGAAAACTACCAGAGCAATTACCATAAACAGATCTTTTTTATAGCTGAAACTGTTAATCTGCTCATTTCGGAAAAGGTGATTTGGGGAAGGTTATATTAATTTGCACAAATCAAATCTTCATATTTTATTGTAATTGATTTAATTGGTGATATCTAATTGGGCATAAAACTGTCACAAACTTAATGGTACAACCTCGGCCTACCACTGAAAAAGATATAGTTTTTAATTAATGCTGCTGCAGATCTTTAGTGAATGTTTCTGAGGAATCATTATGCATGTTTAGAGGATTTCAGCCAGGCGTTTGACAGGTTATATTGCCTGGGATTATTCAAGCATCTCTGAACCGGCTGAATCCACCTCAAGCCTGAAAGTAGTTTGGAAGAATATTTTGCTGGAATGAATTTCTCCCTTGAGAGTTTCATATGACAGTAAGAGCCGCTGTCAGACACATCACACTGCTGAACACGAGGCTCTGGAAGAAACTGTGTTACGGAGCAGCACATCTGTCCTGCACTCCTGTTCATTTTTCAATTTTGTTGTGCTTGTTGTGACACGCTTAGAGATGGTAGAGTGATCGCAAGATAAAGAAACGCCAATCACTGTCCATCTGTCTCGCTTCCATTGTGCTATAAAAACCAGCAGAGATTTCATGCCCATTTAAACTAACAGCTCCCACGCAATCCAAAGCCACAGAAACTTTGCTGCAGATTTTTTTATTTATTACTTTTTGGTTCCAGCAGACATTCAGAAATATGCTCTGGTCAAGCTCAGACACTTTATTAATTCAACTTTTAACTTTAATTACACAATGAACTTGTTGGAAATAAAGAGCCATAGTTAGTCATTGCTCATATGGTTCATTATTCAATGCATTAATGATGAATTTTTCTGCAGGTCACATTCTTACGCCTTCAGGAGGCAACAGCAAGGACATGTGTGCGTCACTGAACCGTTCATTCAACCGATTCTTTCAAACAGTCAGGAAACAAACAAGCGGCTGTCTTTATGAGCGAGTCATTGAATCATTAACTCAACCGATTCATTCGACAACGTTGATTCATTCAAAAACGCAACAAGGAAAAGTTTCGCTGAATGAATCTGTAAATTAAAAAGAAATAAAAAAGCAGTTAAAACATACCAGATTTTAAATAAGGTTATAGAATGTTTAGAAGAGCTTTCCTAACCCCTACTTGAGTCAAAAAGAAAAGTAAAAAAAATAATAATTTATTTTCTTTCTGTTATTTATGTGTATTATTATTATTTAGTTTTTGATAATTATTATTGTATTTTACTCTTATTTTATTTATTTATGTTGTTTAATCTTGATACTTGCTTTCTTTACCTTGTTATTATTCTTAATCCCTCGTAACAGGTTTTTGGTTCTTGATCATTGCTAAAGGCTATCTTTCATTGTAATAAATCGATATGTTTTCAACAACAAAAAAACCCCGCAACAAGTGGCTGCCTTTATGAGTGAGTCACTGAATCTTAAAAAAAATGATTAATTCAGTAATGCCGCTGCCGTATGTGTGTGTGTGTGTGTGTGTGTGTGTGGCTCGGAGTCGCGCATATATTGGACCTATTTTCATTGGCGGAGCAAAAATAGACAAAAATGTGTTTGCCAATGTTATGTCTAAAATGTTTTTCGATATTTAAAAAAAACCCCCACAACTATAAATTATTGATAAAAAAAAACGTTGCCAAAAAAACATGCTTTGTTTTCGATTAAGCAAAAGGAAAATAAATAAATAAACAAACACCTGAAATATTTATTTAAATCATCAAGAATGTCACCGCTGAAGCTTTAAAATACACTCCTTTGTTCATGTAATTCTAACACTGTGGAAGAAAATATGATACACATGTTTAAAAATGGTAAATTAAGTATTTTATTCAATAAGTTATGAATTAGAATGATATTTTTTATACTTTTATATGCTATTAATTAGCTTTACCTGCAGTACAGAGCGCACGCACAATTAAGTCTTGATCGCTGAAAAATTATAGAAAATATTCGCAAGTTTTGTTACCTACAATGATTTTTTTTTGTAAATATGCACCTCATCCAGTCTTCTTTTTGTTTTGTTTTATAAAGTACCTTGTTACGATGTGAGAAACCGCCGCAAATTGAACTGTCCGAATGAATCAAACTGAATCGCGATATTTCAGACCTTTTGACCGATTCGATCAAAGGAGTGATTCATTTGCGAATCTGGCATTTAATTCCTGATTCTAAACAGCTGATCGAAAACACACGGTCAGGGAAAGTGATTCACAGGTCAGTATACGATCATCTCCATTGACAGACAACGATTTATTCTTTGTCTCCGTTCATGTGCAGAGCCGCAAAGACAAGTCACCATGACCTGCGCTTCTGGCGCTGTACATTCATCTCTCCTGTATGCTAAACCACAGCCGAGCACATCTTCAGCAGGACATGCTCTCATTTACACCCGACAGAAACTCGATCTACAGTCCCATTTCATGGCAGCCTCTAGATGGCAGTGGTACATTTCAGGATGACACATCAATACGGTATGTACCGCATACAGACATATGAAACCCACTGAAAACCCCCTCAGATGAAGAATCCCAGCCATGTAGTGAACTGCTTACTGATTCATGGTCTACTGTATAATGCAGTACATAATCCAGAATATGCGATCTGAAATGATAACTGCATTATCGTCACATGGTGTCATTGTGTTGCATGCTTAATTCAAGGAGTGTCGTCCTTCAGTCATCAAAAATTCCATTTTAAATCCAATTCTTCACTTTCGGCTGGAGCAGAATGTGCAGTTGCACATTTCGTCAAAATGAAAAACTAGGGTGCATTTGAATGCATTGCATTGTGTGAAATATAACGTTTGCGCTGTTTATCATCAATGCACACAGCCCCCCATATATTGTAGCAAATGTAGCAATTCATTCAAAAATTCAATGCATACAGAAAAGTTGCATGCTGTTGTGCACAGTGCATAGACTTAAAACTGCAAAATAGGACAAGTAGTATGCTATTCCAAACACACCCATTCTGACTTAGATGCTTCATATATGATGATTACTGCTATTTGTAGACACCGTTTTGTTCTCTTTTATGCATGCTTAAATAAATGCATGCATAGATAATGCATATAAAAATGCATAAATGAATAAAAGATGCACTGTTAGTGTAGCCTATTTTGGCAAGTTAATCCAAGCATTAAGGGAATACAGAAAAGTGTGCAGAGACTTAAAACTGCAAAATAGTTCAAATAGTATGGCAGTATGCTATTCCAAATACATCCATTCTCACTTGCATGCTTCATAAATGATGATTACTGCCATTTGTATACACATTTGGCTCAATTTTTGTTCTCTTTCCTGCATGCTTAAATAAACGCACGAATAATTAAACCGAATGTATGCACTGTTCATCATTAATGCACAGCCTTATATATTTTGGCAAATGCAGCAGTTCATTTAGTATTCAATGCGTACAGAAAAGTAGCATACTGTGCACAGACTTAAAACCGCAAAATAGTACTAATAGCATCGGAGTATGCTATTCCAGACACATGCATGCTTTATAAATGACGATTACTGCTGTTTGTAGACACATTTGGCAAACGTTTTTGTTCTCTTTCTTGCTCAGTGGAAATGTCATTTCTAGACATGCTGTTGAGTTTAAAATCACCAAATGTGGTGTCAGCACCTCTGTGTGGGCTGGTTATAACATGCTGTATGGTTCAAGTGATAGAAGTTGTGAATTTCATAGCTCCCGCAGACACGTTTCCCCCTAAGGAGACGTTCTCTTGAGATCCATGCTGCCTCGGGGTAAGTGGATATTAGGCTCAGACAAAGAGACCGGTGAGGTGACTTTATTGACTGGGTGGAAACAGCCAGGGCTGACCGAGTGATTTGTCTCCAAAAATAGAAGAGACTTAAGTGCAAAAAGCCACCGAAGGATCCATCAGTGGTTATCAGTAAACCTTTTTATCTATACTTACAGATTGTTAACAGCGCTAGATTCGGTTTGAAGGAGTGAGTTCGATGCTGTCACATTTGTTGTTAAATTTGACAAGTGTTTAATTCTCACAGTCTGCCAGGATTTGGGTTGCTAACTGCTCTAATGAACTCCATCTGTGCTGTAGGGAAGGGAAGGGACTGACCAATCGATCAGATTTGGGGCCGTGAGGATGAGGTGAGATTATGTGACCTGCAAACTCAAACAGAGCGTTAATGACAGGTAGTTAGAAAACAACCAGACATCGACTGTGTGTGTTTGTTTGTAAACCCATATGAAAGAAAAACCCCAAATGAGACTTTAAATAAACAAGTAAATGCATGCATGCATAGATAGATAGATAGATTGATAATGCATGTATGTATAATATAATTCAATAGAGAGAGATAATGAATGCATGCATAAATACATGCATAGATAAATAGCTAGCTTAGATTATTAAATGCATGCCATGCATAGATAGATAGATTGATTGATAATGCATGCATGTATGCAAAATATAATGCATGCATATTTAGAGAGAGAGATATTTAAAGGGTTAGTTCACCCAGCTCTCAGATTCCATCAAAAATATCTTAATTTGTGTTCTGAAGATGAACGAAGGTCTTACGGGTTTGGGTGAATAATTAATGACAGCATTTTCATTTTTGGGTGAACTAACCCTTTAATGCATGCATAAATACATGCATAGATAAATAGCTAGCTTAGATTATTAAATGCATGCATAGATGGATGGATAGATAGATAGATAGATAGATAGATAGATAATGCATGCATACATAAGTTAATGCATGCATATATAGAGAGAGAGATAATTAATGCATGCATAGATAGATAAATAGCTATCTTAGATTATTAAATGCATGCATAGATGGATATATTTGGGTATATGCATGTGTGCGCATCTCTTTCAATATATAAAAATATTTAAAACATATTTATTAAGTTGTTAAAAATGTTTATCTGCTTTGCCTCGGCCGTTCCTATAGCTGAAAAGTTTACGGATGTTCTTGGGAAATCTCAGAGTGGAGGATTTACAGTCTTTGAGAAAGTGGTTTGTACAGGATTCTCAGTCAAATATGCTGACAGACGTGAAGTTTATACAGGGCTTCAAACTGTCAAGAAGTTGAGATTACAGAGCTTTCCATGTGTGCGGGATACGTGTCCATCTGGAGCCAGAAGGGGACATTACTTGTCTTGAAGGCTGAATGCATAAGTAGACCGGACCAGATTTCATCATTTCCACTTGAAATGTTGTTCAGTGTTGACATAATTTTACATATTCAGTGCTGGGTAGATTACTTACAAATTGCAGTCTGTTACTGATTACAAATTACATGTTGAAAATTGTTGTCAGTAATGTAATCAAGATTTACTTACTCATTTTAGGTCATGTATTCTGACTACTTTTGGATTACTTTTAGATTACTTTAACTTGTTTATAAATTTTAATGGGGTTATTGTTATTTTAAAAAAGAGAATAAAATATATGACCATTAACCGACATCAGCGAACATGCAATTATGTTGTAAAATTATTGAAATATTAATTTGATAAACTTTAAGTATATATTTTAGGTCAAGAGAGTTTGACTGACAAAAAGTTTGGGAATCCCTGCATCATGGAAAAAGGAATTACGTAGACTCAATAAATTATGAATAATTTACTGTCATTGTGGGAATAATTTGTAATCATGTGTTATCCATAAAAAAGTTACTGTAATTTGATTGAGCATTTTAAAACATAGTATAATTACAAGTACTTAATTTTTGGAATCTGATTACATAATCCAGATTACATGTAATCAGTTACTACCCAGCACTGCACATATCATATTATTAAAGCATTAAAACAAACCAACAAAGCATTCAAAGCCTCTTTGTAAGCTCAGAGTTAAGGATTCCCCCGAGCCCTTAGGATATTGTCCGGTTCTTTTGCATCACCGCCGATGTGATTCATGAACTAACAGCGTTACTTAATTAAGAAGCCCATAATCCACAGCGTCTAAAGCTCTCCGTGTTCAACACGACTCCAGCCTGGAGGGAAACAAGGTGTTGGGAGCTTAAGACGGAGTGTAATCCCAGAGATGGAGGGAATGATGGATCGCAGGATCAGTGTGTGAGTAATCAGTCTGGGCCGCTGGTCTCCGCTCTCCTCCAAACCCCCACACCAATCTCTCAATCACTCCCACTCACACTGGCTTTCCATCTCTCATGCGCCTGTGAATTTACCCACTCGTGTTTGGCTTGTGTTTTCATGCAAAACCTGACAAAACCCTCAGGACATCCAATATGTAGGTGATTTTTTTCTTCTTCAAAAGAACAGTGAAGGTGATTTTTAGCTGAAATCGTGGTCCTTGGTGATTCATAAAATGTAAATCAATGGCGACCATCACTTTGAGAGTCAAAAAAACATATACAGGCAACACAAAATTAACTCATGACGATATATTGAAGTCTTATGAAATGAAACGATCGGTCTGTGCAAGAAACTGAACGTTATTTACAGCATTATTACCTGTAATCCAGAGCCTCAGGCAAACGGTCCAGAGTGACACCTGGTTCACGAATGAATCATTCTTTTGAACCGGTTCTTTTTGGTGAACTATTTGAACCAATTCCCCAAATTGGACTAAAGCATCTGAATCAGTTTATTTCTCGAGCAGCACAGATCTACTAGTTACTCAATCAAAACTCACTTTCAGACTGATGAACCAAAATAGCGGCGTATCTGATCCTGTGACGAATGAATCATTCAGTTCTCCAGTTCCTCCAGCAGTCACTGAACTGAGGAAACAGTTCAACTCGAACCAATAAGCCATTGATATGCGCATGTGTGAACTGAGAACTTGAATGAAGGGGAGAAATTAAAGTTTTTATGATTTATCATGGTTTATGTAAAAAGGTGAGTGGATAAAGACGAGTTTATTCATTTTATATGCTTTAGAGATGTAAAACATCCACACTTCGCATCATTATTGTGTGCTTTAATGATATTATTGCTTATATGTTTCGTCATTGCATGATTATGTAAACAAACTATAAACTGAACCAGTTCATTGAATCGAACTGTCCGAAAGAACCAGTTTGTGGAAAAGAATCAGGTTTCCCCGTTTGCCTGAGGCTCTGGATTACAAGTAATAATGTTGTAAAAAATATTCAGTTTCTTGCACAGACTGATCGTTTCGCTTCATAAGACCTCAATTTGTTGTTAGGAGCCATGGTTTTAATTTTGTGTTCCTTGCTTTTTTCATTCTCAAAAAAGCGCATCTGCTGACTTGCGTTTTATGAGTCAAGCATCGTTTCAGCTAAAAATCTTCTTTGCTGTTCTACTGGAGAAAAAAGTCACCTACATATTGGATGGCCTGAGCATGAAGAAAATAACAGCACATTTTCATGTTTGGGTGAACTATCCCTTTAACCTTAAGTGATTGCAGTTCAAAAACGTAAAGCTGTCTTCTAATTGCAATGTGAGATTCATTAGTGATGTTTACTAAGTCAAGCATCACTATGGCTTAATATGAGTGTAAGTAACAAAGCAGTGTGCAGTTAGCCCTAGCAACCACATTGCAATGCACTAAACCCCATGCAAAGCACATTAGACTCTTAAGAAATGTCCAAGCCTAGTTAGTATTCAGTATCAGTCTCTTTTTTTTTCTTTGGTGGTTTTTGCAGGCATATCAATCTAGTCATTTTGTGCAAAAATGTCACATCTTTGGTATTGAATGTGAGCGCAATGTTTAATTTATGGTTCATTACGGCAGTACCGCCTGCCAATTAATTCATCTCCAATTGCCCTTAGTGTAATGAGGAAGGTTTGATTCTTATGCAGCACGTCTGTCGTCAGGATGGGTTATGGGCACGCGTGTATAGAGACATTTAATTCTGCGAGGCTGCCTTTAAGCAATTAACCGGGTTGGAGGAGAACTAAAGTGTGACATCCTTGCTCTGTGAGTTTTCTGACCCGGCCCAGATGAAGCTCGTCCCGCTGGCACGCAGATGGCCTGTGGATCTGAGCTTTCGCTTCTGATTTTACTCTGGACATCGAGTGACCACCAACACCAAATACTGATGTGTTTAATGTATAAAAAGGAAAGAAAATGTCATGAATATATTATATCTAATATCATTAAAATATGAATAATATAATGTAATGTGTTATATATTATACATAACATGAATAATATATTTTAATGTAATTTTTTTATGAAAAATTATTGAGCTTTTTAAAATATATAATGAATTTTGATGGTTTTATGCATACATTTTGGGCACAAACCATGTTTATTATTGCAAAGAACCCATATTTAATTTAGTAATGTACTTTAAATGCTAAACTTTTATTTTGACGTTATTAAGTAAACAAAAACAAAATCAAACATTGAAAATATATTTAAAATATTTGAAAAAAAAAATGAATATTGTATTATTTATTAGGAATATTTTTTAATGTAATATGATATGAATCGATTATAATGTATTATATATTATAATATACTGTAAATATTATAATATGAATAATATATTTAAATATGAATGTTTAAGATGAAATGTTGGTTTCATGCATATATTGTGGTACAAATCATGCTTATTATTGAAAATGAACTCATATTTAATGTTATAATTTACTTTAAAGAATGATATTTTGGTTTAATGTTCAAAAGATTCATATTAAAAATATTAAATTATGAATATTTATTATTAATATAATAATAATAATATCACAATGTATTATTTAGGTTATACATTATACTTGAATACGAATAATATTGTAGTATTATTTATTTTTTATTTTAATAATATTTTGGTTTAATGTACAAAAGTAAACAAAAGTGTCCTTCAAATCAAACACTGAAAATATATTATGAATATCTGAAAATTATCAATATTTATTTTTGTATTTATTCAATGACTAATAATATATATAAAATTATCATTTCAATAATATATTATATATTGTGATCTATTAAAATGAGTTTTTGTTTACATAATATATGTGTGTGTGTGTGTATATTTATTATGTATGTATAAATACACACACACATACAGTATATATTTTGAAAATATTTCCATGTATATATTTATATTAATATAATTGATATTATATATAAATATTTTAAATGTATAAACATAACATATTTTTCTTAACTATATACATGAATGTGTGTGTATTTATATATATACATAATAAATATACACAATATACACACACACACACATATATTATGTAAAAATTTTTTTATTTTGGATGCGATTAATCGCGATTAATCGTTTGACAGCACTAATTAAAACATAAAAATTAAATAATGAGTTTGTTTTAATATGAAATTATTGAACTTTTTAAATGTACCTTGAATTTCGATGGTTTCATGCATTCAACACATTGTGGCACAAACTATTTTTTTTTTTTAGCATGTTTTCTTGATTGACTATTGATGACTATTTCACCATCCCATCGGCCCATCTGTGGAGGATCAGTGCTGTAGAGGACCGTCCAGGCCTGCCTTCTTACCATATCACCTTCAGATAAGAAGAGAGATCTCAGAACGAGCAGACGAGAGGACACAGCGCAGGCGCAGCGTTTAAACATAGCCACGGAAAATGTGAAGACGGGACAGACGGAAGAGAAATAGGAGCGAGAACAAAGGATAAGTGAAGATGAAGGTACAAAGGGTGACCGGGGAGAGAGAGATGATAAAATAAGACAAGGCAATTCCTTTTTTCTCATGCACCTCTGCAGAAGAGCTCTGAGCGTCTGTAAGGTTCGAGGTAAACATGTCCTCTGTCTGTGATGTATAGGGCTGCGTGTCTGTTGTGTGAGTGTTTACTGTTAACTCTCCACTCCCTCCCTATTACCGGAGCCCGAGTCCTGGCCCCTGACGGCCCCTCGCTCTGTTTACCCCATCTACCTCTGTTTACTGCCACACAGAAGAGACATTTGCCACCGTCACACCAGCTCTCCACCGGGACAGGGCTGAGAATCGGGTCAGGATAACAAACACACAGCGCAAATGACAGCGCAGTTTGAGCGTTTAAACATAGCCACGGAAAATGTGAAGACGGGACAGACGGAAGAGAAATAGGAGCGAGAACAAAGGATAAGTGAAGATGAAGGTACAAAGGGTGACCGGGGAGAGAGAGATGATAAAATAAGACAAGGCAATTCCTTTTTTCTCATGCACCTCTGCAGAAGAGCTCTGAGCGTCTGTAAGGTTCGAGGTAAACATGTCCTCTGTCTGTGATGTATAGGGCTGCGTGTCTGTTGTGTGAGTGTTTACTGTTAACTCTCCACTCCCTCCCTATTACCGGAGCCCGCGTCCTGGCCCCTGACGGCCCCTCGCTCTGTTTACCCCATCTACCTCTGTTTACTGCCACACAGAAGAGACATTTGCCACCGTCACACCAGCTCTCCACCGGGACAGGGCTGAGAATCGGGTCAGGATAACAAACACACAGCGCAGTTTGAGTGAAAAGTGGGATTCAGAAATGAACATGCATGTGAGATTGTGTCAGTGTTTGGTGTGTCATTAGAGCTTCATCAGCTCCACTAATGATCATGTTCTCCGGCTTGATTTGAGATGTTTCATTGAGCTTCAGTGGAAGCATGCAAAATGTGTACAATGACGTGTCACATGATCAATGACACTCATTTGATTGAATTTATTTAATTAAAAACTTTGATTTGTATCTAGAAATGGTGCACTGTTTCTGTTTCATTTTATGACAAAACAGTGTTTTTATTTTTAGGAATGAATGAATGGATAAATAAATAAATAAATAAATAAATGTAGGCCCAGTGCATTAGATAGTTTCATGAATATGATAATAATATGCAATCTTTTTTTTGAGAAAGAAACTGTAGAAATAAATATTCAAAATGAATGGAAAATAAAATAATGGAACTCAATTAGTGATATTTGATTAAAAACTTACATTTTCATCTTAATATTTATTTGTCAGTTTATTGCAAAACTTTTAAGTAAATAAATAAATAATCCCAGATTTTTGTGATGTCCTAATGCATTTTTGTAATGTTTGCATCAATGTGATTATAATCATTAAAAGCATTACTAATCATTTTCATCTTAATATTTCATTTCGGTTTATTGAAAAAGTAAATAAATAAGTAATCCCATTTTTTATGTGCTCCTAGTACATTTTATAATATATGCATCAATATGATTATACTATAATCTTTAAAAACAAAACAAAAAACATGAATAAATTACTACCAATTTTCATCTTAATATATATATATATATACACACCATATTTTTTATGGTTAAACCTTTTTCATTTTACATTTTCACAATCCTAAAACAAGGTTTAATTGAGAAAAATAAAATTAAACAATATTTTTAATGTGGTCTAAGTGCATTTTATATCATTTGCATGAATATGATTATAATATATCACTGTAAAAGACTTTAAAAATGCTACAGTAAAAACCTGTTAACTGGTTAACAGTAAGTCTCCATACTATATACGGTGAATAAATGTAATTACATTTAATGTAATTTTACAGTAAAATACTGTTAGAAATACGGTTTTTGGAAGTGAAAAAGAAAAAGTGCATGACACTTCATATTTGATGTTTTTTTGTTGAAATAACATGTTTTTTCTTATATTTTTCTTATCAGTTGTGTACACTAGGGTTTAATCTTACATCTAATGTTGTTAAATAAATGTTTATTGCATTATTTCAGAATCATGTGTGTCACCGTGATGGGGTTTAGTGTTTGTGTGAATGGCACTGTGCACCTTCTATATATAAGTATTGTCCTCCTCAGCTCCTAGAAAAGTTGTTTGCGATGAGCTTTGGTTCATCATGTGAGTTTTTGGTGGTTATCAGTGCATTACAATGGTTCAAAACAGATATTAGTATTTCAATATGTTGGTTTATTAACATTACATCAGTTAATGAAATGCGGTATTTTATTGTGAATTTAAGTTAAGTCTGTAAAACCTAAAATGTTGCTACCATATTTTTTTACGGTGAAGTTCTGGCAACCACAGCTGCCGGTATTTTACTGTAATTTTTTTTTACAGAGTACATATCTTTGAGAAAAAAACTGTAGAGGATAATTTGCATGATTATCGCCTCTCATTTACTGATATTTGATTAAAATATACATTTTCATCTTAATATTTTTATGGCAAATCTTTTTTGCGTTTGAACATTTACATAATCCTGAAATATTGTTTATTTCCGGGTTCAAATCAATCAATCCAGACTTTTTAAAAGTAGTCTCAGTGCATTTGCTATAATTTGTGTGAATATGATTATAATATACAAAGTATTTTCTGAGAAACAAACTAGAGATTAAGTTGCATAATTTAAAAGTCACACCTGAAAAAGATTGTTCGTCTTGCTATGCAAATTCATAAAACCTTATTCAAGATTAAAGTCATTATTTGTGGACTTGAAGATCAGAAACGACTCACTGAACTGCTTTGCACTGAGATCAAGTTCAGTCCTGCTGATATCAACAGAGACTCCAATAAAAAAAAGATTTTTAATTTAAAAGTTTTAAAGTATTTTATCCACTTAAAACAAAGTTTACACCTGACGAAATGCGTTACTTTGTTCAAACCTGTTTAAAGTGATGCACATGTGCAATTATAATATTTACATGTTGAGATAGCATGACTTGAGTTTTATAAAAACTGAGAGGTTGCTTTTATTTATTGTGTTTTATTCACATTGCAAACTTTCTCTCTGATATTTAAGGAGAAATAAAGACAAACACATTGAGTCAGAAAGTCTATATTTGCTCTCCATTTAACCTCATTGCTGTCTTGGAGAAAAAAATGAAGATAAACACAAAAGTGGTCTATATTTTGGGAGATCTGTGTTCATCTCATGAGCTTTCCTTGAGCTGCAAGCTTTAACAAAGTTTCAGTCTAACGCCAATAAACTTCGGTCTAATACTTTTAGAGGGAGCTCGAGCAAACCTTTGGGCTACTTGAAATTGGAAAAGAAAATTTGTGATTGGCGCCTTCACACACATATGAAACGGGCCGCAGCCAAATATGCCATGCATTATTAATGCAATCTTTTTATCAGTAGTATATGACTCCCCGCCTGGATTGAGCTGATCCATGCATATCCAAGACAATGAACCTAGATGAGCATTAAGGTTGAATCAAACACTTGGAAAAGAGAAAGAACACCTGCTGAGGGAGAAAGAGGCTGTGTTTGAAGTGCCTGTGCTTCATCAAATGGATATAAGCTCGGCAAAGATGAAGATAAACTCGCTTGCATCTCAGGAGCTGGTTTGAAACAACCCTTGTTTTTTCCCGTAAGTGATGTAATCACTTAAAAGTTCACCTGCAATTACTACAAAAGCATCCCCCGTCCAATCAGCACAATCCCAGACAGATTTCCTGCGTGTAATCCCATGCATCCAGTCTTTTCAGCGAGGAAACTCCTGCCGAGCTCCTTCAGCCCAATTAAACCCTCATGCCAGGCCTCCATCAAAGCACTCGAGCGGCTTGTGCAAATGAAGCGCTATCATGGAAACAATCGCATACAGAGCGAGGACCGATTATATTATAGCGGGAGGGAGTTTCTCTTAGGAGTCACTTTCTAAACGCTCCCATTATTTCGCTTTCCGGAGCGTCTGAATGTCGTGACGCTGGAAAATGTGGCACTTCCTGAAGCTGGAAGAATGGAAACAGAGTAAAAAAAGTCTCCCGATGTGGCCAGCTTTGTCGCTACTGGATTAATCTCTGGAGGTTAGAAGATAGAGCAGCTTATTTTAAGGGGATCAATGAAACTTAAAGAATGTCTAATGCCACTTTCGAGTCGGAGGCCTCGAGGCGCCGAATGCAGAGAGTTCAGAGGAGACGCTGCGTCACAAGGACGCTGAGGAAAACAGTGCGGCTAAAAACTTTAAAATGTCAACTTTTGCTGCAACACACTCTGACTTTGAACAATTCAGACCACAAAACCAAAAGCAAAAGTCACATTTTGCATAAAAAAATGTGGGGACAAAGTTATTTTAGTTAACTAAAACCCTAAAAAAAACTTGTAAATTAAAATCAATTTGAACTGAAATTAAAAAATTTTTTTTTACTTGTATTAATTCAGTTAACAGTTACCAGAGCAACATTTTTCATTTTCATTTAGTTTAACTTGACGTACTAAAATAACTAAAACATATGATTAAAAACTATTTAGACTTTTTTTTTAAATCTTAAATTTAAAACTAAAATTAAAATGCAAACAAAATATTTATACAAACTTAATTTACAAAATAGGATCTCACTTATACTATAATAACGCTGCTTAGGGACTATTCAGAAGTTTTACATTATTTCTCTGAAAATGCACCATATTTTCCTACATTTTTTTTCTTCAATTATTCTCAAAAGGGATTCAATATTTTTTACAATTCTGTAATACAGTGCTTCTTATTAAACAATTTTTAAAAATTTAATTATAAATTGTATGTATGCTAAAAGTTTGGTGTCTGGACTGGAATACATTTTATTTTTATTCAGCAAGGATGCATTAAACTGATCAAAAGTGCCAGTAAAGACATTTATAATGTTACAAAAGTTTTCTATTTCAAATAAATGCTGTTCTTTGGAACTTTCTATTCGTCAAAGAATCATTAAAAGAAAATGTATCACAGTTTCCACAAAAATATTGTGCAGCACAACTGTTCTCAACATTGATAATAATCTGAAATATTTCTTAAGCAGCAAATCAGCATATTAGAATGATTTCTGAAGATCATGTGACACTGAAGACTGGAGTAATGATGCTGAAAATCCAGCTGTGCATCACAGAAATAAATTATATTTTAAACTATATTCGCATAGAAAACAGCTATTTTAAATAGTAATAATATTTCACATTTTTACAGCATTATTTTTGATCAAATAAATGCAGCCTTGATGAGCAGAAGAGCCTTTCTTCCCCAAAATAAAAATATTTTACCAACCACAAACTTTTTTAACAGTATTGTATATGTGATATCATTTTAATTGTATT